CTTTCTGTTTCCACGATCAAAGAAAGTGAAGGCCCTTTCTAGTGCCCCCTCCCCCCCCCCTGGCATTGGTAGAAGGAATAAAAGTTTAAATTTTTCTAAGGAACAGTTTCGAGTTCCCATTGGAAGATTTGAATTCTTTTCCGACGGATTTATCTTGTCAGGTCCAGCTTACAGTTGACAGATTTGTAATGCAGTGTAGGGTTAGGAAGTTTATCACAGCCTCACCACTGGAAACTAGACTGAAGACATTTTTAGGACACTACTGGTACGGCTTTGGGACCTCGTTTGATTTTGTGAAAAGAAAATTTATTCTTTATATTTTAGAAATTAAATACAATTTTGTTCTTCTCAATAGCTCTTGAATAAGAGGAATTAATTGATTGAAAATATATAAACCTTTTAATCTTGCCAGCAGTTTACTTTAATCTGCAAAATATTGTGGGGTGGCAAAAATGCACATATGCACGGCAAATATAAGTGTCATGGCAAAATGCAACATTAAAAATTGTTTATTTAAAAATACATTTGATACTTTTAAACTTGAAATCACATCTGAATTTTAAACTTGAAATCACATCTGAATTTTTCTAACAGCTGAAAGATGTTCCTGAGAAGCTGATTGTCCGTTTCTGTCAAATATATTCTTTCAGAAAACGGTTTATTGTGAATTTGCGATTTTTTTTCATTTCTTTAAACCAATAGATAGGAAAACGAAAAATATTGAAAATTCAAAACAAGTTTATTAAAAAGGAGTTGAAATCTTTTCCAATCTAATCGTCTTGAAAATAATTTCACAAAAAAAAGCACGAATAGATGGAAGTTCTTTATTTATGACAAAAGAAGCGTTTTTAAACGCTATATGTGACTTTAATCATCTGCAAAGATAATTAAGTCTTCGCCACAAACTGAGATCTTATAATCCTTATATCTTTGAAGCCTGCATGTGTACACATTTAATATTTAAAACTGAGACAATTTGATCCAGCAGAATAAATAGTTTGAAATATCTAAGGTCTACCACATTGGGTTGCAAAGATAAAGGGATTTAAGTCGGAGTTTATGACATCGTTTCCTTTGAATCTCCACTATTAGATATCTATCTATGTTCAAAACATTAGAACGACCTTTATGGGCCTTGAAATAGTTGAACAAAGGCCGAATTTAAAGAATTTGCGCAGCGACTCAAATATGCATATGTCTGGTTTCACTTAAAATTGTATTCAATGCCTCAAGATTTAAGCCGGCGCCCATTTAAAACCGGTTTTGGGCGGAGTTTTAAAAAAAAGTTCTAGAATGATTCAATTCTTTCCAGGAATTTCCAGTAGTTTCTGTTGTTAATTGTTATTCAATAACACTCTTATAAACTTTATAAAAGTTTGAAAAGTTTTCTTTTCTAAGGACTATAGTTAAAGTCGAAGGATGAATTTAAAAATTGATTTAAACACGAAAACACTTAATTGTTGCAATTTTGACCAATCAGTGTTCTTAATCATCTCTCAAGGACTTCCACACTAGCAACGAAAAATACACAAAACAAAAGGATGGTAAAATTGTTATTCTGTAACTTTAAAGGGAAGTTGATCTCAGTGAAAAAAGAAATGTTAGCAAAATAAACATGCCTGGGGTTATCTTTTTACTGCAGACGTTTTCATTAATCAAAAATAAAATTTATGTTCTTTTTTGTGTATTTGAAAAATAGATATTTCAATAAAACCTAGAAATGTCAGTAAAGCTTAGAATTGACTTTTTAAAATTTTTTATAATGTGTTGATTCGAGAAAGATAAGTTTTCCACGTGAAAAAACAAGTTCTACAGACAAACTCTTTTTATTGAATTCAAATATTCAAACTGTCACAACTAGTTGACTAAACTTTGTAACGTATATATACTAGCAATGCACTATAAGCTTGTTTTGCAATAGTTCTGTCACAATCGCAAAGCACTCGGAAAGAAAAAGTTTGTTGTTCTAATAAAATATTAAATTATAAACTAAAAAGGATTGGAAAAATAAAATAACATTTAAGGGAAAAGAGACGAATTTCAAGTAACCTTAAATATCTGATTTCAAGTGACTTTGGCTTGTTTGAATATTTTTATTATTATTGTCAATAGTATTATTATTATTATTATTATCAATATTATTATTATCATTGACAATAGTATTATTATTATTATTATTGTTTTATTATTCGTAGAATAAAAAAGAATCCTGTATGATAACCCAAAATTGCGAGCACTCTAGTATGCCGAGTCCATTAGCGCCTGATCCAATCAGGGTTCAGTCATCTGTTTGTTGTCTATTCTGAGCAAATATAAATTGCATGGCGGTAACATCTTTTTTCTATCTAGCTCTTTATCCAATTAGAGATAAATCCTTATGTCGGCGCTATAACAGTAAACGGAAATATTTACTTCTACAGAACCAACTACAGTGCGAGCCACAGTTTCACTCTCGGACATTACATTACGTGACACAGTAAAGTGAATACGTTTTTTTATTTATTATCTATGCCAGCCATCTTTTCTTTACTGCTATACACTTAACATCACGCAATCTTGAAAACTGGGTAAAAACTTTACATAGAACAATAATAAAACACCTACAGTACATAAGTACATGAAATGATACAACAGTACACATAATGTAAAAATTGTAAATTAGTACCCTCTGGTAATCCTTAAAACCTCCTGGTAGAGTCCTTAAAACCTCCTGTTAGAGTCCCTAAAACCTCCTGGTAGAGTCCTTAAAACCTATTGGTAAAGTTCTTAAAACCTCCTGGTAGAGTCCTTAAAACCTCCTAGTATGATTCTTAAAACCTCATAGAATTTAGAAATTAGAGGTTTATAAAACCTCATGCTAGCGTACTTAAAACCTCTTAGTTAGAGCTCTTAAAACCTACTGGTAAAATACAGTCCTTAAAACAGAGTTCTTAAAACCTCCTAGAAATGATACGTTCTTAAAACCTACTGGTATATTTCATTAATCGACAATTTTTTCTTTAAAAAAACATTTTTCTATTTTTATTTAAGTTTTTTTTTATTTCGATGAATTATTATTGTCCGCACATCCTATTGTTATAATATATTGTTCTTCAAGGGCAAATATTCCAAAAGAATCTTGCAAAGTACTTTATTTCTTTAGCTGTGTATAGGAGCAAAATTTTGATTCTGCCGGATACATGGAATATTTCTCATTGGGATTGTTTAAAAAGGAGACTTTTCCAATGTAGACAATAGACACTAGCGTTTTGTACGTGGTCGTCTTTGGTGATGTCTAAGGGATCATGCCTTGATAGACTCAAATAGTTGATGCATGATTTTATTTACTATGTTGATTGTCTTGTAGATAAGCTAGAACCGTCGAAGAATGATAAAGAAAGGTTTTAACATATTCAATATTTAATTCAAATATTTACGCCTCTCTGATATTGGCATATTTAGTGTTGTTATAGACATGGGAATCTATACAAATTCTTTTAACATGCATTTTACTTCCACAATTTATATATAATTTATATGTCAAGCATTATTATAACACGACATAAACATTATAACAAGCCATAAGGGCTATAACAAGACATAAACAATAAACATTATAACAAGCCATAAGGAATATAATAAGACATAAACATTATAACAAGCCATAAACATTATAACAAACCATAAACATTATAACAAGCCATAAACATTGTAACAAGACATAAACATTATAACAAGCCATAACAATTTTAACAAAACATACACATTATAACAAGCCTTAAACACTATAACAAAACATAGCAATTATAACAAAACATGCACATAATAACAGGCCATAAACACTATTTCAAGCCATAAATAGTATAACAAACCATAAACACTATAACAAGTCATAAATAGTATAAAACATTGAACTTTTGCCAGCCCATGTATTTACGTAATGAACATTTTATTTGGCCTAAGCTCAATATTACAATGGTCTTTGAGGCTAAGGGTTTAAAATAAGTAATAATACTTTTTCATAATACATATTTATCTATCATGAAGTTTTTAGAAGATTTAAACAGACATTGTAATTTGTAAAGCTGTAAAGCATTTTAGTTTAAGGTCTTTTTTTAATCATTTGGTTTTAGATTATATAGCGTAATGACTTTTCCAATAAATAAATCAACTCAACGATTTTTTCGTTCTTTAATCGACTTTTTGTTTTAAATTCCGTTTGTTAACGGAATATTCAGTTAATTTTAAAAAAACTTTCGTTTTTTTAAGGAATTTTGATCAGACTTTCTACCATTTGTTTTCATTTTCCAAAAAATACATAATACTTTTCTTTCAGGAAGTTTTGATTTTGGGTCGACAGTGTGTTGGATGAACAGTTTTGTGAATATGTCTGTCTGGGTTCAGCATATTATTATGTTTGGTCTACTCAAGATAGATAAAGTTCTAGCTTCAGCTCTTCCAATAGGAAATACAGGCTTTTCAAGCTAACTATTTATAACAGTGCATACAAGGTTATTTGAGTAGATTCCACAAAGAAATTAGGTCAACACCACAAACTCACATTTTCTAATCCCTTTATCTGTACAACCTTATATAAATTCTGTTAGATCAAATAATCTAAGTTTGAAATATCAAAATTTTACACCATCAGGTTGCAAACATAAAGAGATAAGAAAAGTTGAGTTTGCATGGCAATGGCTCAATTTCTTTGTCATGATTTGTTTCACCTGAAATCAGAATTAATAATTAGTAGTTGAACTATCCCAAGATATCACATAATGCAAAAGTTTAAATTACATTTAACATTTTTTTAGTTGTTCTTACGGGTTAATTTTGAGGCTTGAAAGGTTTGAAAATAAGTTTTAAATGATATTAATTTATGATTATGGGTTATTATTCTCTTCGCCTTTAAAAATCATGAATTTAAATATCCTGTATTTTGAAGGGAGATATCCCCTTTTCCCCGTAGATCAGATTACATGGATTATTCTAATCACATGGATATTCTCACTCAGGTATTCTCATCACATGGATATTCTCACTCAGGTATTCTCATCACATGGATATTCTCACTCAGGTATTCTCATCACATGGATATTCTCACTCAGGTATTCTCATCACATGGATATTCTCACTCAGGTATTCTCATCACATGGATATTCTCACTCAGGTATTCTCATCACATGGATATTCTCACTCAGGTATTCTCATCACATGGATATTCTCACTCAGGTATTCTCATCACATGGATATTCTCANTATAATTGATATAATACTCAAAGAAAAAAAATTAGACCGATTACTTTAATAGTTTGAGTGCTAAGGAATATTTTTAAAAATAAATATTTTTTTTTGTTTTAAACAAATATCAAAGTGTTTCTACATACATTTTTCAAGAAGGGCTTTTCAAAAATATAGTTTTTGGATCTGTAGCATTAATCACACAAAAGTTATGGGCTATTTTAGTTTATTTCCGCCCTGTACCCTTATACCCTATAAATAAAAAAAAACATTTTTTTACCAAACATGCTTTAAATTACTATTCATTAAAAGTCGCAAAATTTCACGGTGATAGTATCAAAAATGAGAGTGCTAGGACACCCCTTTAACTTGATTTATTCTCACTCAGGGATATTAAAGTTGTTCACATTCCGCTATGACATATATTTGAACAGATCAGGATCGTGTTTTATTGTAAACAATAACAAAAATTGGAAGCAAGACTGAGTATTACTCAGGGCATGAGGCCGGGCTCAGCAAGCTATGTTGTTTGTTTCCGATAAAACTATTTTTATTTACAGTGTATCCCACGAAATTTGACAGTAAAAAGACGACTTAAAGATCGTCCTTGATCTTTGATTTTTTTTGCGGCATTTTTTCGTCAATGCTTGTTGGACAATAATCACAAAATTCTCGTAGTTCTGCCATTTTTAAAAGTGGTCTGCCTTTTTTTGTGCTGTCAATGTTACTGGAGGTATTAAGAATTTCGTTCAAATTAAAATGTTTTAAAAATAAAACAAAAAATGTCGAAATATGAGCAAAATTCTTTGTTTCTCCGGCTACTTTGTAGGCACCAAAAAGGCAGACCCCTTCTGAATAAAATTCCGCAAATTATTTGAAGGATCAAAAGCGACCTTTCAAATTCGTTTTTATGGGACACTCTGTAGGCTGTAAATAAACCCTCTGCCCCTCTCCTTAGTTCATTTTCTCCTTCATTGCGAAGTGAAAAGAAGAAATGGTTTAAAATATTTTTAAAAAGTTAACTTGCAATTTATTTACACATCAGAAACTTATTATTATAAGTAAACTTTTATTAAAAGAGTTTCAAATAACAAATTTTCTCAACTTTTAAAGTTTTTTTTTATTAGTTTTAGGCTAGAATTATAAACCTTTTGATGTGAAATGTTTTTTTAAAACTTTGAAAATTAAAATTTCTCATCACATTCTGATCTAAATACATATTTGGCTAGCTGTTTGTAAACGTCAAAACAGCTAATCTTATCAAGCAAATTTTTTTGTGGTAATTCACATGATGGGAAAGGGTTATTCTTAATCTAATCAGTTTAATCAATTTATGTTTGCAAGAATTTCGATTTAGAGTTCTTTTGAAAATCCATCAATGGAAACAGAAAACGCGACATTGTTCAAGTTAAGATGTACGAAGAAAGTTTTGGTTCCGAAATCAACATTTAAAATCTAAATAAAATTTTTATTAGAAAAAGAGTTGCCAAGCGCCCTAGAAGAGGGAGGGTGTGCAGAGGCGCCATGGTCCCCCGCAAAAATGCCCTCCGAGCCTCCAGATTTGCATGGCGCCTCTGCACCCCCTCCCTCCCTACAAATCGAATACCTTATTCATGAAACATATTCTTTTTGCTTAGCGTATCTGTGATTGTGACGAAAGTGTACCCAGTTCAGTATGAAAAAGTAAGTTTTAATTACATTCATATCTTCAAGGCTTACCCTGTTTATAAATATTTCACTGCAAATTATAATCTAGGGCTAAAGAGGTGAGGAACTTATTTTAATTTTTTATTTTTATGCAGGATACGTCAAGGCCGAGAGTTGCAAAAACTATTATATAAAACTTTCTGATTTAGTAAAATTTGTAAGCTTTGTCTGACAAGAACCTAATTCTAAATCTTTTTGTTCCTCCAAAAAACGTTTTTTATTTGTTTTAATTTGACTATAGGCTTTTCTGTTACTGCTCTTGTTTACAGGTTGTTTCTTTTGTTAAATTTGATTTTAAAAATGTTTAGGAAAACAGATTTTGAAGCAGCTGCACACTAATTTGTTTTTGCAGAAATTGTTCTTAAAATATATTCTTAAATTTATTTGTTTGTATTTCTCTGCATCAATTTTTAAATCTTCAAAAAATACATCATTTTAAAACATACACACATTGCGTAATTTCTTAAAGATAATTAAAGTGTCCTCAAACATTTACAAATTTCTCATTCTGAAAAGAATAAGAAATGTACAATAATGGTAAATGTTAAACCTCCAAAGCTAAAATAATTAGCTTTTAAAACTATAAAAAACGATTAATAGAATTTTAAAAATCACTTTAATGATTTTTGGTATGAAAATTTAATCATTTTTTTAAATTTTCAGTCTGTTGTTCTCTGTATTCCTGAACTCCCAATAGGAACATAAACACAACTTTTATCACTTTTACCTGATCTGCGAATTGTAGTTCTTTTTCTTCATAACACCCCGGAAAAGAATAACCTGTGTTATTTCAAAAAACGGCTATTTTAGAGACTTTTTGAAAACATTTTTAAATGTTCAACAGATTTCCAGACACTATGTCTGAAAGAAAACTAAAAAACCTGAATTTTTCCTTTTCTCAGGGACTGTTATCTTGATCTTAACTGAACCCTTCTAGATAATCCCTTCTTCAACAAAATTCAACATTATACCCCCTTTCAAGAAATGGTTTCCCATAACCTATTAACTTTCGGAAAAAAACTGAAATATCTTCAATCAATCATGGATCATAAAATAAATGTTAAAAGGTCACAATTGTGAATGTTTAATTGCAATTTTACAATGACGGGTTATTTTAAAATTCCGTGGGTAGTCCCTTTAATTTACTTTAGTTTACGAATGATAAAGAAAAGCTAAGTCAGCACTTTTACAAGGGCTTCTTCAGTCCAGTGTTAAGAGTTTACAATATGGTTGAGAATAAAGCAAAACACTTGAGATTTAAAAAAGAAAATGTAAAGTTTTCAGTATTCTGGAGAATAAAAGAGAATGGGGTTCAAATTTCTAGTGACCCCCAACCCCCCTTCCCCCATCCAACATGCAAGAGAGGCATTTCACAACGGTACCAATCAAGCCATTGTCTGATGAAAAGTTATGGAGTTTTCTTATGTTAACAGTAAATCATTTTCAATTGCTGTAATCTTAAACAGTGACTTGATATATGAAATTGGAATATGTCTAAGTTCTGAATAAGAGAAAAACTTAAGAATCTTTATGACTTCTCTTCTCTGCAAAAAAATTGTATTTTTTCTTCTAGTTATTTAGTGGCAAAATACACAAAATACATATTTCATTTTTACAGACAGGTTGATTCAAGAAATTATCAGAAGTTAAAAAAAAATCTTTTTCATTTATTCATTTTTAATTCCTTTGAAGCAACCTTTTTATAAACCTCATATCAATTCACAGAATTTTTTAAAGAATAATTTTTGTAATTTTCCTGCCCTGAATTTTGAACTTAATATTTACACCCCCCCCCCTCCCCCCACAAAGGGTATCAGAGGGGGGGCAGCAATATTGAGTTTACACCATAAACCTCTTCCTTGGGTTAAATAAGGCTCGGTCGCTTGATTATTACTTTTTTAAAAAGGGCCTCTAAGTTGAGTTTCCGAATTATAAGGGAAAACTGGTGATTTCCGTGAAAACTCTTAAAACGAATATTTTGTACACGAATCAGAGCCCAAACCAATACTTGGGCGGGCTTGTGGGGCCCCTACATCTTTTATTAATGGTTTTTAGAATCTATTTGTATATCTAGATTTTCTTGAATCCGTTGTAAATTGTAATTTTGTGTAAAAAAGCTATAAGCTGTTTCCCCCGAAATAGTTAGCTTTAACAAAGACGACATTCTAAATATATAGCGGATTCACGGGATCCATTTAAGGATAAATATATAAGGGTAAAACTAATTAAAAATTGAACTCATTATTAATCAATGCAAGTTACAATTCATACAATGTTTGTAAACGAAAAGATTATCAGAATATATTCATTTTGACAAATGCATTTTAATAGGAGTATTGTGACAAAAAACCCACTAAAACCCCACCTAAAATACCCTACTGTACCCCCCCCCCCCCCCGGATTTTTTGGTTGAGAGTGTTGGTGTTGATGACAGGGTTCTTTATCTCGATGTCGAGCATCTTCTGCGTGTCCCTGGTTCTTCTCATCCTGGGCTTCATTATAGCCTTCATCTACATCAAGAAGGAACAATACAATATCAATCAATCAATTCAGTGAATATTTACATTTGAGATGCACTCGGTTTCTGAAATTTACAAAGTTGTTTTTTATTCATTTTGAATTTGAATCCGCTGACAAAAAATGTTTAAATGATCAAAAAGCTAAATATTTATGTTTACTAAGTGATAATTGTGATAGAAAGCCACATTCACAAGTACAGAACTTTTATATAACCGTACTTACGCAATATACTTAAGCTTGACGAGTCCACAGGGGATGTATTGATATTTTAAAAATCAAACGAGTGAGGGAGTACAGGGCTTTCATGAGCCTTGCGAAATGACCTCCGGAGCCACCTGATACACAGAATGGCCTCCAAGCCCCGCGAAGACAGAATGACAGAGTCTTGGAAACGTACGTAACGATAGGGACGGAGACGGTTTTGCGGTTTGTCAGGTGATTCTGCGTATCAGGTGGCTACAGAGGTTATTTCGCGGGGCTCATGTCGACAATGCACCCCCTCCCTCATCAAACATACATTTGTTTATGTAATCATTCTAAGAATTTTACAATAAATCAATATTTAGATTTAGATATCATCCTTAATTCGCTTCCTTCTATTTCTAACGGAAACTGTTTAAAACTGGATTTTATTTTAACTTACTGAAAGTTAAAATTAGGATAACCATAATTTTGTTGCCTGATAAAGTTTAAGGCCTGGTTGAATTCACAACAATATTTTATCAGTTGCTAGAATCAAATTGGAAAACAGATTTAATTTCAGATTGCCTACCCGGGGTTGACCTTCGAATTATTTGTTTATATTTGTGAAGGAATTGAGTCTTTGACACAAATTTAAACTTTCTAATCCCTATATCTTTGCAAGCTGTTGGTGTAAACTTTTGGTATTTCTAATTAGGAAATCAGAGTTTTTGGTAAAAAACTAAATTCCTTTCAAATTATTTAGATTTTTGCCCAAGTTATCAGATTATGATAATATAAAACATTTTTTTGGAAAGCCATTTTTTAATTTGCTCTGAAATATTTTTCCTTTACGTCCCAAAATATTAAGTGTCGGGTCAAATCGACAAGTTTTTCGGGATTCAGCTTTAAACTTTAGACATTATATAGCGGAAGACACTTTAAATAATGGTGTATTATTTTTCATAAAATATAATTGATATAATAAAATATAACGAGTCTACAATCGAAGCATAATACACAATAAACTGTTTTCAAACTAACTTTTCATATTTTTCAACAAATAATATGATTCGTTTTCTTTTTTAGTCTAGAACATATATGAGGTCAGGAATTTGATATGGAAAATATATTATTATTATCAAAATATATCTATTTTGTTTTTAAATAAAAATTCATTAACTTACAAACCTTAAAACTTTATTAGGTTATTCATCTTTATAAAAATTTATTAACTTATTAAATTTCAAACTTTATTAGGTAATAAATATTTATAAAAATTCATTTACTTACAAAACTTTAAACTTTATTAGGAAATAAATCTATATAATAAGGATGTGTCAGTTGCAATATGCTATAGAATATTTATTGCCATTTAATTTTATCCCACTCACATGTATTAGCTCAAGAAATATTAGTTCCCAAGATATACCCTGAAAAGCTAAATTTCGGGAAATAATATTATTAAAAAAGCTTTATTGTCTAATCAGTAAAACGGAAATTTACGGTTCTTAATATCGGAAATATATATGCTATCTTTCAAAATTTTCGTTTCCGAAAAAACTCTAAGAATCTCAACCGAACCTCAACATTTAATTTTTTTTGGAAAAATCACAAAATTCCACTTTATGGACTAATTTTCCGGTTCAGTCTGATTCCAGAATAAAATTATTATCTATAATAATGAATAAAAAACCATAATTGAATTGTTATTGTATTGTTGTATTCTGCAGAAACAGGTTCAAATTCATAATTCAAGCACTGTCTCCAGAATAGATTATAAGGTAACAACAAGTTTTATAACAAAGAAAAAACATTTATGTTTCAATGGCTGAAATGTTAATCCTAATGTTGATATTTACAATTTAGAATTGATTGTGTCCAATAAAAGCATTCTATTGAAAGTATTGGTAATTTTTTACATTGTATAAAGCAATTAGGAATCTTATAAATTTCTCTTTAATGCCTTTTTTTAAAATCTCGGGAATTTCCACTTTTACGGGCAGACACTCAATAGGACTAGCCGGCGCAACAAGGTTGACGCGGTCAGACTTAAGGTTTAATTTACTTTTGCTAAAGGGTCAGAGGTGCGTGCTATAGACAAAAAAGGCAATATCTATAATTTATGCGAAATCACTTGATGTCTTTGTGACCTTGCACCTAGGTTTGATTTTACTCTGAACTACAACATTCAGAAAAAGTATCATTAAAAAACTTTTAGATTTTTATCGAACGTTTTTTTATTTGGCGTAAGTTTTCTATAGAAACGTAGAAAGAGATATTTGAATGTTATTAAACTGTATTGTACAAGACAAATATGTTAATAATTTGTACAATATTTTGTTAAAGGGACTGTAAACGTAAGTTTAAGTGATCCCATATACAGGGTGTCCCACGAAATATGACAGTTGATGAATATTTTAAAATGTCTTATTCCATGTTAAGTTGTTTGATACCAAAGAGAATTATATGTCAGTTTTATTATAGTAAAATCGATCCCAGATTAAGATATATTGGAGTAAAAGATTTTTCTACAGAACTAAACTGCAAAAAGTCTTTAAATCTAATACAGTATTTGGAAGATGAAATTCTCATCTATTCATCAACTGTAATGTTCTGTGGGTCACCCTGTATGTCCGGTTTTCAACGGCATCTATTAAACATTAGACTGACACTGCAAACCAAGGTGTTCACACTTTCACGCAAAAATTGAGCAGTCTTTTGCCAATTAATCTTTTTAAACTTTAAACTAGAAAGAATCGCGTTGCATATTTAAAATGTATATGTCTAGAGCTACAAAAAAGTAAAAGTGAGTTTGTGAGGTAAACCCAAAGGCCAAAGCGTTGAACACTTTAAAGTTTAGACTGTCCAAAAGTTTGATGACTAAGTTTCAGAGTTGTCTAGATCTTAGTGCTGATCATCAACAGCAGAGAACTCCGTGTGTTTATCTTAAAACTTTCCGACAAAAGTGTGTGTAGTAGTTTTCAAGAATTCATATACAATCAAATAGGCTAAAATTTATCAAGGGAACCCATGAATAAAAAATTCTAAATATGATCAGGCAAAGGGCCGTTTGAAATAACGTCTACAGTCCCTTTAAGAAAATAGAGATGTTTTCATGAATAATATTGTAATTTTGTAATATTGTATTATACTTCATTGTCATATTTGATATTTTATTCACAATTCAAGAATTTTAAACTTTGTCAGAAATTTAAGAAAAAATTTTTTTAAGGGGTTTTCTAGGCGATTATTCATCTATTTCCCCTCTCTTCTTCTAAGTTCATGTCTATTTATTTTTCTAATGTACTAATTTTCAATCTAATTGCTTTTTATATTTTCTGATATATAACTGTGAGTACCCTGGGCAACGCTGGGTTCTATAGCTAGTGGTTTATTTAGTTCTGTGCAAGGAGAATTGAATAGAAGTGTATAGGGTTTCCGTACACTTTGCTGTGACGTTTTTGGACTGCTGAAGAACTAGTTTTTGCGTTACAATCTTTATTATTGTTGTTACGAAAAAAATAGTTCTTCAGCAGTCCAAAAACGTCACAGCAAAGTGTACGGAAACCCTATCGCCCCCTCCTTCTATTCAATTCTCCTTGATCTATATTGTATTTTATGTATCTATTCTATGTTCTACGGAAGCCTACTTTTATTTTAGGAGTTGGAGAAATCTACGCTTGCCAATTTCCTGGTGACCATCATTCATATATTGTAAGCACTTAATTTCATATTATTATTCAAGGTCGTTTACAGAAATAAATCTAGTTATCGATTCAAGTTCAAAATCTTTTTTTTTACATTAAACTAACCGAAGAAAACAAAGTCTAAAAAATCTTTTTTTTCAAAGGATCAAAGTCTTTTCAACAAACTCTGATTTTCCGATCCCTACATTGTTGCATCCTATGTCGTAGACCTTAGATATTTTGAGCTATGAAGTCTAAAAATGTTATTGATTAGGTTGTATGTTCCTACAATGCTTGTGATTGGTCTTCATGGTTGGATCCTTCCACCAATAGGAATACTTCTTTGTGATTTTGTTGTTTACTCAGGTATACAAAACAGGGTGTAAAAAAATAAATCTAATCCTGAAAAAATGCATTTAAAACTATGGGAAGAAGTTATTAATGCGGAAAATTTGAAATTTTCAATTTAAAATCATAATTTTTTTCTTGTTTTAAATTTAATGATAAGATACGATGTTTTCACTCTTTATTTAAACATTATTATAAACAAAATAGCTAAATAATAATATTTAGTTATTCTTAATTTTCATACCTCCAAGAAACTGCAGCTGTATCTGCTTTAATACAAGGGTACATGAGGTCATAACTTTTATGCACGTGGAATATTTGTTAATCTTGAACGCTTGATCTCAATGTCTAATTTGGAAACTTTTAAATCTGAGGATGAATACTTGATCCCTGGCCTAAACCTTTCCCTGTATAGGATATTGACCACTACGGGATATTGAAAAGGAAATAAAGTTAATCTGAAGATCAATATCAATGTTGATCAAGAGATTAACTACATAAAAGTTAGAACTTTTGTATGGAGTATCGTTTATTTTGAACAATTGATCTCGATATCCAATCATTTTATTTTCGGATCAATGCATGATGCCTGCATTTCAGGTACGATTACCACGGGATAACGATTAGGAATTAAGTTAATCCGTTACTATGCAAAAAATGGAGATCAAAATGATCAAAAGTTTCTGGCTTGCAAACAACTTAAAATAATTATTTTTGAGAAAATCGATTTTATTATTTGTTATCTATAACTATCTGTTTTAAAAAGTACAGAAACGTTTAATTGTTTTACTTTAGAGTTTCTAATCCACCCGACCCTGCTTCTCATTTCATCGGGAAAACTACGCCAGGAGATTGGTGCAGGGTTGTACAAAGCATTTCAGGTATTATTTCAGAGCTGATACCTTTAGAATTGGATATCTTTAATCCCGATTGCTTAATCTGAATATCCAATGTGAACACTTTTAATTTCCCATGCTCAGTCCACTCTTTTTCTCTCTTTTCGGACCATTTGGTTAAGTGATGTACACTTTTGAGGATACATTCTTCAGATTAAATCAATCTTGAGATTGACAAAAAGACAAGATCCAGCATTAATTTTTATATCCACAATTCTAAAGTTTTCAGCTCAGATCATATTTCTTAGTATTTCAGTTATTATTTTAGATCATATTTCTCAGTATTTCAGGTATTATTTTAGATCATATTTCTCAGTATTTTCATCATTATTTCAGATCATATTTCTCAGTATTTCAATTATTATTTCAGATCATATTTCTCAGTATTTCAGGTATTATTTTAGATCAAATTTCTCAGTATTTTCATCATTATTTCAGAACATATTTCTCAGTATTTCAATTAATATTTCAGATCATATTTTTCAGTATTTCAGGTATTATTTTAGATAATATTTCTCAGTATTTCAATTATTATTTCAGATCATATTTCTCATTTTTTTAGGTATTTTTATTAATCTATGATTTTAGAGCGCAAAGGTGTTTGCTATCTTTTAATACCATTTTAAAATTTGCTTTAAAGAAAAGGGTTAAAGGCCATGTTGTTCTTCCATTGTTTTGTTGCATCAAAAATATATAATTTTTACGACATTTTTGATTTAAAAAATTTCCAATGTTATCTAACTTTGTATTGTGAAAACTGTGTGCTAGCACAATCAAATAAAAAATAACAAATCATATTATAATTAAATAGCTTATGTAAGCTTTAATAGATATTTTTCATGAAGAAAAATAATAGTAAACTTTTGGAATATCTTCATTTATCAACAAGCATTTGTTTTTTATTTTTTATTTGTTTTTTTTTATTGATTACATAGGCTTTCAGGGCGCTTCCATAACACGTTGCACTTTTTAAGCCGCAATTTGTCTTCGTAATAGTGAAACTGAAAATTTAGCGAATTTTTCTGTTAACCAATGACGGATTTCTAAGAAGTGTTGAGTTAAAAATTGACATATTTTTCTCTACGGTTCTCATGTATTACGTTTATTGGATACAAATATACAGAAAAGTAAATATATATAAATATTCTAAAATACTTTATTTTATGGGATATATAGAACTAGCTTATAAACTTGCCATCGAGCACTAAACAAATGAAAAGTGGATATTTGGAGTCAAATTTGTACTCATTTTTCTAGCAATTTCTTTGAGCAAGCAAACGAAAAAAAAAATTGTGGAACTCATGGATATCCTTATTTATTATTAATTTAGTATTTACCAAAGGTTTTCTCGCAAACCAGATTTTATCTCTCCCTCAACACATTTTATACAAATTATATCACAACGAAGCAAAAAAAAAAATAAAACTAGTTAAAATAATGATTGAGCCTTTATCCATTTCCAATTTGATATCTATCAAAAGAGTAGGAAAAGAAGATCAAATATCAAAAGAAGGTAAAAATCCATTAATGCATCATTGCAAGTAGGATGCATGTTTCATTTACATTGAACGCAAAGTTAAATCTAGGAACCGAAATTGCGTAATGGTTAATTGATTTTCGTAGAGAACGTCGTCTTTGTATATACAATTTATTCGTTTTAATACGCAAAACGTAAATTTAGCGCTAACTCGAATATCAAAAGTTTCATATTTTAGTATAAATAGCTATCACATAATGGCATTGAAGTATGATAAATTTAAATTTTTTGGATTGTCGTTGCTGAAAAACGTCTACGAAAACTCGTTTTTTTTGTCCGGCCTCAGTTGTCTTTGAAAAGTGAGACTAATATCAATTAACAGCTAATAGGCTGTTTGGTTTACTATGAAATTATCCAAATAAGTGAACTATAAACTATTTTATCTAACAGAATTTTTACAACATCTGGTCGCAAAGATATGGGATTATATTTGTGGCAAAAACTCAGTTTTTTTACCAGGCCTGGCTTCTTTAATTCCTTATGAAAATATAGCAATTTATGTAGATCTTCATATCTCTGAAAGTATTTTATTGTTTTGACTGAATAACAATGATAAAGCATATTCTTGTAAGAGGATGAAGCAGGATGAAAAGTTAAAGAACAAGTTTATATCTCCCTTTAAACTTGTTGGAAAGATTACACAACTTTTTTATGGAAAAGGAAAAGCTTTCGGTAGCAATTAAAGTTGAAATTCACGTGCAAACTAGACCTTATGAGCAGGTGAAATGTATGCGACATCATTGGTACGTTTTTATTGGTATCTCCTTTAGTTTTTAATTTTATACATTCACAAGTTTTAGAAAGACTAAGGAACCATTTTCCCACAAACTTAAATTTTATAATCCCAAAATCTTTGCAAACTATTCTTGCAAAACTTTTATTTATTTCAAAATTAGACTTTTTAATATAACAGAATTCATTGTTTAAACTACCAAAGATCTACAACATTGGGTTGCAATGATATAAGGATTAAACAAAAACTCAGTTCCTTTTTTTGGTTACATAGAAATTTAAAACATTTTTGTTCGCAAACTAAAGCTTGAATATACTAAATACGTAAAGGTTTATTTAGTACTCCCATTCTTGGTGAACAGAAAGTATATGAGTATAAAGTTTAGTACTCCCTTGGTGTACAGAAAGTACATGAGAATAAAGTTTAGTACTCCTATTCTTGGTGAACAAAAAGTACATGAGCATAAAGTTTAGTACTCCTATTCTTGGTGAGCAGAAAGTACATGAGTATACAGTTTAGTACTAATATTCTTAGTGAACAGAAAGTACAGGAGTATAAAGTTTAGTACTCCTATTCTTGGTGAACAGAAAGTACATGAGTATAAAGTTTAGTACTAATAACCTTGGTGAACAGAAAGTACATGAGTATAAAAAGCAGATATAGACATTAGAGATAAATTATCATGTCTTTGATTGCCAAGTTTCAGTTAACATTGGATGTGAAACTGCTAAAAAGTGTTAGAATGCCAATTTTTTTTGGACACACAATTTCTAGAAATTTCTGAAACTATTTGGCACTTTTTTGATAAAAATGCTTAAATCCACCTTGCAACAGTTCTATAGTTTTCTGTGATATATTTAAAAAAAGATTTGATTTTTTAATAATAATTTTCAAACTCATTCAAATTTTACTTTTTTGTTAATGAAAGCCAGAAAAAAAGATTTCGAGTAGTTTGAAGCTAAAACATCTAGGGTGATCCTTAGAATAAATATGTAAATTGGTAGTTGAGAAATTATTACTTGACAAAATTGCATTATATTCTTTTTATGTTCTTGTTTAAAGCCAAATGTGTGTGTAAGCACAAAAGTATTGAGACAATATGGAGACTTTACGCTCAATTCTTCCAGACAATGGACCAGACATATAGAACGATAATCTTATTGTTCCACTAATTATTAATCTTTTTAGGGGATTTGGAGCTTTTTCCGTTCTGATATTCCAGCTTTCTTTTCTTCTTTACACTGCTGCTTTAAAGCTAAGGTACAAGTCACGCAAAGTTAAAGTAAGTCAAACGAAGGATTGAAATCTGATCTATTTTAAATAATATCTTTTTTAAACCAGAAATGTTTTGTATTTTTTATATGAAGTAGGATAAATTTTGTCACTTTCTGCGTAAAATCCAAACTAGAGGAGCTGCAAGGTCGCATAGTTTTACCAGTCGCAACAGATTTACCTTCTTCATGTCTAATATGCAGTGTTAATCACACTAAGCTAGATATACAGAGAAGGTCAAATCCCAGACTTTGGAACCTCGTAGCTCATCCAGTTTTATTTTCACCCACAAAGGAGTTGAGTCTTTGCCAAAAACTCAAAATTATAACTCCTATGTTTTTGCTTACTGATGATGTAAACTTTCTATATTTTAAACTTTTAGTATTTCATCTAACATAACTCTTAGTTTGACATATCCAAGGTCTATGACATTTTTAAGAAATTCGTTTTTTTTACAATGCTCGTCGTTTCGTTAAAGAAGTTAACGACGACCCTTTGGTAGCGATCGTTAACGATCGAACGAACAGAGAAGGAGAGGGGAAACCAACCTGAAGGACATCTGTACTTATCATTGAGTAGATTTAAAGAAAATATCAAGAAGTTTTAGCTCCCCCCACAACTTTTAACTTCATGTAAGACAACATTCGATAAAATTGCATGTAATTTTTTTCAAGGAAGACTGTTTTTATAAAGTTCGTTGTTTCGGTAACGACAACCCTTCGTTAACGATTGTTAACGACGATCCTTCGTTAAAGATCCTTAACATATTCATCAATGACAATTTTTTTTCTAAAAGGATTGTTTTTCTAAAAACAATCGTATAAAAAACGGTCGCTAAAAACTTTTATAAAAACGATCATTTTTAAAAACGATCGTTATTCGTTTTCTAAAAGTTCAAAACGAGTGGGTCGTTCATGAAAAAGATCGTTATTTTCCAAAACCGAAACGAGCGTTTTAGAAAGCAATCTAAAAACGAAACACAAAACGATGGTCTGACGATCGTTTTCAAAAACGATTAACAATCCCAGTTGTAACTAACTGTAAAATTTAATTTCATTAAAACTAGATTAATTAAAATAAAATAAACTGTAAACACCTGCTAAGTATCCTGCCGACTTTTAATCAGCTTGAGTAAGGTGAACAATAGTACAAATATAAGATCCCCTTCTAGTAGAATATATATGTGACCCTTAAATTATGCAAACATGGCTGACTTTGTACACGGAAAAAACACGATTCAATGTATAAATCTAGCTTGCAGGAACCCAGCGTTGTCTGGAGATTTAAACCAATTTAAAATTAAAACAAATCTGTGGAGGGTTCATGAATTTTTATGAGACATTCAGACAATCAGCAAAAAAAAAAACAGACAAACAGAAAATGCTACTTCTACATATAAAGTTGACCATACTGGTATGCTCATTGTAACTACATTTTTTCTTCACACAAAGCTAAAAAAGAAATATACATTTAATTTTCATGTCAACTCATGAGTTGAACCCTGAAACCCTAATCTTATTTTTCTTTAATATTTGGCATTTTTGTTTGTATTTTTTAGCCCATAAACGACTAAACCGATTGGGCCCCCGATCCCAAGAAAGGTTTTATAAAAAAAATTGACATATTTTGTATAGAAAAAATATCGGTTTTAGAACTGTTGAACATTCCACGAATGCTCTCATAAAAATCCTCAAAAGTTTTTTTTCTCGATGGACAAAAAAAATGGCGTAAAGCAAGAGTTAAAGCTTAAATTGTTACCAGAACAAACATTTTATCTAAATAACACCCCCACGTTGGGGTATTTTAGGGGGTCAGAGGTGGTGAATGATTTTTTGTTACAATACTCCTCTTAAAATGCATTTGTCTTGTGTTTCCATGATAAGAATGAATAAAATGAATTTATTTTGAACAAACGGTTTCAGGATAATTTAGTTAATATATATATGAATAGATTCTAACAACCATTACTAAAATATGTTGGAGCTTCCACAGCCCGCCAAAGTATATTGATTTTGTCTCTGCTTAGTGTCAAAAATACACATTTTAAGAGTTTTCACGGAAAGTACAAGTTTGCTGTCGGATTTAACAACTTTTCTAAAAAATTGACTCGAATAAGAGGTTTATGGTGTAAACTCAATATAACTCTAACTCCCTGAGGGAAAAGTATTAGACAGATTGCATGCTATGCTAGACTTTATAAACTTTTTATACTTTCACAGAGATTCCCTTCCATTCCCCTCTTGGATGTTTAATTATTCATTCCCATTCATTTCTACTCTCATGTAAACAAACCCATTGAGTTCTTGATGAAGTAGTTAAACGTTTCATTATAAATGAGTAAATTGGACTTTTCACATCGTTTTAGTCATTTATTATTGAAACCATATAGCATGAAAAGTGTTTTATTCTTTTGATTTGATCATTGTGTCTGAAACAAGAAAAACGCAAGTCACTTTTGAACCTTACAGGAAATTAATTAATTTTCAAAAACGAAAACCTGCACATTTATTTAATATTTCATCAGACAAAGCGTTTCAGGAGTTTAACTTTGCTACCTGATGCCGCGCTAACCCCTTAATATTTTAAACTATTAATAAATCAATTAAATCAAATAGTCAAAGTTAAACATTTGAAGGTTTACACTACAAATAATTATGCAGAGATAGAGGGATTTTAAATAAGAGTTTGTCGTTCGTCAGTGCTTAGTTCTCTATTTATCTAACAAACCCTGATTTTCTTATCCCTATATATGTGCAACCCAATGAGCTTAAATATTTTAAACTATAAATTCTGTTAGATCAAATAGTCTAAGTTTGAAATATCAAGGTTTTTACCATCAGGTTGCAAAGTTAAAGAGATTTGGAAATTTAAGTTTGTGTTGCAAAGACTTAATTCTTTTAAAATGTTCAAACAATTGAATCAATTTAACCAGGTTTGTGGATCAAGAAAACCGGTTTCTGCTGGAGACAAGATCAGTTGGGATCCTCTCAAACTAACTAATGTAAGTATAAGAAAACACAAATCCGGGAAATCTTTTGTGATGTAATTGTAAACCTGCAAAAAGGGTATTGTGATTTGTTTCTCTTAAAAATAAGCACGTGCGGACAAGTTTTTTATTGATATTCTTTCCTCTTAAAGGTGTGTTTTCCTCAGCAACAAATTTTCAGCTGCTATTCATATAATTTTTTACTTTGTCGAGTCACAGTGAATTTTATTGTTGTATATTTCGAATTATTATTATAAAATATTCTTAAAGTTATATATTTGTATTTAATGTAATCTTAAACGAACGATAGGAAATTTTATCAATTTGATGTGAACATCTTTAATCCTATCAGAGGGTTCTGACTAGTCGGTCAATTGAACACTTTGATATGATTTCTATTCTATTATAAAAATTGCCAAAAGTTAACATAACCAACTGATGTTTATCAGACTGCGCACACCGATGACAGGTTTAAAGTGAGGAGTACTCTGGGTGTTCATGGAACAGAACCAATTATTGCTTCACCAGGCCGACTACTTCACCAGATGAATGCTTTAGAACCAAAAGGGGTAATATATATATATATATATATACTAGGATGGCTTGTTCAAATTTCGGCTATGAAATGTTTATTAACATCCCACCATTTTTTCTTTCTTCACCTTATCTATAAAAATATTGCAGATTTTCTTATATATTATTATTGGTGGATTAATAATCTAAATATTTGTACAGTTGTTTTAACGTGTAAAATATGTATATTAAACTTGATTCTTATTTAGCCAAATGATATTTAATGTCATAAAAAAGATACAGTTCAACCTTTTCATGATATATTTGTTGGTAAAACATGTATCATACAAACTTTATTCTATAAACCACATGATCAAAATCGCTCAATATTCTCTAAGTTTAAGAAAATAATAAAATCTATAAGTCCTGAGTTTGATTAAAAAATGGATATTCCTAAGTTTCACTTGAATTTAGTTGAAGAAGTCAAAGCACGTACTCGTCTATCAAGTTTTTTTTTAACATAATACTTTAATATCAACACATTTGATAGAAACAAATATTAATTCCATACATATAAATTATAAATATTCACTACAAATCGTGATTTTCACAATATAACTTAAAACATTAGGTTTCAAAGAGAAGACTTGAAATCATGTTCTCATATTACAAGTTTACAACACATAAAAAAATGTGTGAATTCAAAATAGAAATTATTTCAGAAAAAGATTATTTGTTTCTAAATGTTTTTCATGCTTGGAATACTTTCCAGTTTATTGTTACTGAGGCAACTCCAATAAAAATATTATGACAGTTGACGTAGAAAAAAAATTGGTTAGTTTTCATAAAATGTCAAACGGCAGGAGACATTTAACAGGAAAAAAAAAAATTTAACTTAATTTTTTGGAAGTTTAGTATAGTGGAAAGCCACAATTGATTTAAAGGAATTGACTCTTTGCAACAAACTCTGATTTTCTAATCCCTATATCTTTGGATTCCGACGTCGTAAACCTTTGAAATTTCAAACTATGACTTTTGTTAGATAAAAAAATAAGTTTGAAATATCAAAGGTTTACGACTTTGGGTTCCAAAGATATTGGGATTAGAAAATCCGAGTGTGTGGCAAAGAGCCAATTCCTTTATCCACAATATGAACGTTTAGATTAATTATTTAAATCTTAAAATTTTATGAAAAAAAACTCTGATTGGATTAAGCCTCATGAGAGAAAATTTAATTTAACCCGTCAAAGAGAACATTTTTTTTAGCGAATTATTAAAACGGATTTTGAAAAAAAATAAGCTCTGAGCTGAAAACGTTAGAATTGTGGATATTGAGATTAACGTTTGATTTCCTCATTTGCTTAAATTCTCAACATTAATTTAATTTTTAGTTTAGAGTGGGGTTTGCAAAATTTGAAACAGCCAATAAAAATTCGAAAAAATTTGAAATTTTTCGCGCCATTTAATAAAACAACTCTCACTAGGCCGGAAAAAAAAGAAAGAAAAAGGAGTGGATTAAGCAGGAAATTAAAGGTGTCAACATTGGATATTCACATTAATTCAGCGGGATTAAGGGTATACGATTATAAAGTTCCCAGCTATGGTTAGATTAAAAAAATTCTAAGATTCTTTAAAATTTCAGGAATCTTTGAATAAACTGCGAGGAAACCCAACTCGAGCAAAGCTGACAAAAAGTACAAGTCTAACTGGAACTGAACAAAATAAAGGAAGGAAAAAAAGGCTTTCACCTTTAGACAGAAAAAGATCAATGGCTGATGACGAGTTTAAAGAACAGAGAGCAGACAACAGAGAAAAGCTACCAAAACAGGGACGAAAGCATCCAAAAAGAAAGAAAAACAGTCCAAAACTAGTCCTCCAAGGGACTCTACAAGGGGAAGAAAGTCCAGAGAAGAGAATAAAAAGTCCAAGTTCAGGATTATCCACTCAAACAGTTCTCACTGGACTCCCTATTGACAATAAACCCTTTGATTTCTCTCCAACAGGGGTTGAGGCCTGGACGGATAGTAACCAAGCTCCGAACCAAGACCCTGAGAATGATCCGGGATCAAACATTCAACATGAACCCACTCCAGCTTTTTCAATACATCCAGGCAGAATTCTTTTACTTCAAAGTTTTTATCTTGAAAAGAAAAAACTCTTTAAAGAAATGCGCAAAAAAACTTTTCCCTTTTATCTTAAATTAGGTGGTGAAAGTTGTATTTCAAATGAAACCTTAAACCCAAAACTTAAAGAAATATGAAAGTATTTGATTGAAAAGCACTCAAAAACTTGTTTAAAGACTGTGTTTAAAACTTGTTTAATATTTCAACAGTAAATGCATTCTAGTTTGAGGGTTTGTGTTCAATTCTTTCATCAACTTTAATCTATTTTCACATTCAACAATAGTTCGAAGCTGTCGTCAAATATTGATTATCCATTTTCAGAATTATAAAACCTAAAAATGATTATTTATTTATTATTTATAATCCCTTGTGTTTTATTATGTTAGGTACTTTCCCAACGACATTTTCCCAAGCGGCAACTTCCTAAGAGTATTTTACAAGGGACAACTTCCCAAATGTGCAGTTTTCCAAGCGGCAACTTCCCAAGTCTGTCTTAGCCACAGCGCTCGGCCCCTAGCATGTTTTAGCTGCAGCACTCCGCCCCCAAGCCCATCCTAGCCGCAACCCTCAGCCCCATTGAACATGCGGCACCTCAGAAGGTGTAACCAAACCTTTGGGAAGTTGCCGCTTTGGAAATTGCAAATTAGGGAAGTTGCCACCAGGGAAATTGTCACTTGGCAAGTCGCCATCGGGAAAATACCTCACACCTTCTTTTTATAGAACGTAAATTCAAAATTAACAAATTTTACACTTTTTGTACATATTTACTTCTTTTGCAATTCAGGAAGCAGATTGGATTTTTCTGAATATAATTTATGTTGAAATATTCTAAGTTGATACCAGCAAACTTTCTCTGTCCAACAGTTTGATAAGAAGATTTTCAAAGAAATTTAATTTCGCCAATTTCTGAGAATTCTGATTGGACAGATTCAGACTCAGCCCTGACAGAGGTAGGACGCACACGGGTTCTAAACTTGACAAATAAAGAATCAGAATTCTCACGAGATTTCTCCGGGTCCAGCTTAGACGTGGTCAGACTGATAGATCCAGAGAATCAAAACCATACCGGAGGCAGAACTGGTTCGGACGGGAGAAGGTTACGATTAAACCGAACATACTCTCAGTATATTGACAGTGATCAAGATATAGCGAGCTCTCTACTCACATGTTGCCAGGTAGAGATGGGCACGTTGGCTTTTTTATTTCGCTCGTTCATCGTTCGTGAACGACCCGTTTCGTTAGTTTTTTTTTCAATCGTTAAAAACAAATTTATTTCCTTCGTTTTCAAAAATTTTCGTTCATTTTCCATCCATTTCATACATTTTTTGTAAAATTAGTTTGTTCATTAAAAACCAAAGTTTTGTCAAGTTCGTTTGAACAATTTTCAATTGTTCTTTTTTGTCTATCTTTATCGTTGTTTATAAAAACGAAAATGTTTTCATTTCTCTGAACGATCCATTTCGTTCATTCATTGTTCGTTTTTTTCTTCTGGACGACACTCTTTTTCATAAAAAATTTTGTTCGTTCTCAAAAAATTTGTTTGTTAAAAAAACTATGCCCATCTTTATTGCCAGGATGTTGCCTCAAGTTCAACTGGAGTTCAGTTGTTGAAACAGAAGTTGTTGTTTGACTCACTAGATGAAGATTCTTCGTTAGTTCGAGCTAAGATTGGAAAATTGAAGAAAAGAGGTTCATTGACACTACCTCCTCTAAAACTAACTAAAACAGGTAAATTCTAACTTCTTTGTAATTTTTTAACAAATTTGGTATTTTTATTTTCATGTTTTTTAAATTACAATTTTTATTGATAGATACATGTTTTTAATGCAGATTATCACTTTCTCCCAATATTCTTTTCTGTTCACTCTGTCCACTTAAATTTACTTTATTTAACTAGGTTACATTATCTGCACCCCCCCCCCTTAAAGGCTAATACTTGGTTCTTAACACAGCTGATAAAGTAATATGTATTTAGTATTCTGGATGGTATGCAGAATATTTTAAATTTTTTTCTTGGTCTGATTATCTTTCTTATATTACAATAACTGTCTTCTCTTATTTTCTCTTTTCAGGTTCTTTAAACTTTCGCTCTCTCCTTAGATCTTTTAAAATTTAATCACTGGTTCTTTGATTAATAAAGAACACTCTGATAGTTTAAAATTTCCACATTTATCTGTACTCAACATTACCTGTCTAATCATATATAATAAATCCTCAAACCGGTTGGCCTATAATTTTTAAAAATATTTGGAACCACGGGAATTCTCTTAGCCTAAGTGAAATATTAAGTGTCCAAGCAAAGCTGGGTTCCCAATCAAGTCTAATAAAAAGTAAATGTTTGGCATTATCAAAACTTTACATGAAACTTACTGACTCTCCTATTTTAATTGTTTATTATATTTTACTCTTTTCTAGTTTCATAGCCCTCTTTTTTTTCTTTACAAGTATTATGGTTCTGTGATTGTTTTACAATATCATTACCCGGAATCTAATAAAATGGTGATTTTCAAAATAGAAAGCGGAAAAAATGTCCTAGGATTTTTTTGTTGCTTTAGGGGGGATTAGGCGATAAAAAATTGGCTCAAAGTTGTGTTATCCTTATTTTCTCTTGTCTCATTTGCTTTGCTGTAACCCTTTTCCCTCAAGATTTATTTCATTCTTTTCTTCTTTCTTAACCTCTTAACTTTACATTAAACCTGGTGACTTCTTCAGTTGAATTCTTGTATTCTATTAATCAAATGTTTTTACACATCCCTGAATTCTAGTTTAATAAATATCAAAAGATAAGACTGAGCTCACGAAACTCTGCAGTGTTTATTTCGCAACCATTGCTTTCTCAGCATTAAAGGGCTTGTCGACCTAATTCACAAAACTACCCTTTAAATCTTTGCACTTCATTTTTTATCTTATCTATAGTTTTCAATTGCGGACTTGTGGATTTATACAGCAGAGACAATCAAGGAATTTAAGAGAATTTGTATTCTTTTTAAGACAGAAAAACGAAGATATCTTTCCTATTTTTATCCTGTAAAGAGTGGGCACTTTTATGTTAACAGTCCCTTTAAAAGGCATAAATATGTATATAATAAAGGAATTGAGTCTTTGCCACTAACTCTTATTTTCTTATCACTACATCTTTGGAACCAAATGTTGCAGACCTTAGATATTTCAAACTTTGAATTCTGTTAGATCAAATAATTTGAGTTTGAAATATCAAAGGTTGACAACATCGAGTTCTAAAGATATTGATTGTTTAAATATCTGATTTTGTTCCAAAAACTCAATTTCTTTAACAAATAAGAAAAACAAATATTAATTTTAACAAACATTTACCTTTTTGTATTTTGTTTTCAAAAATTTGTCTCTTTATGTTAATGCATAGAACCCATCAAATTGATATTACTGCATTATTCTCTATCCTTTTAATCCTTATGAAACTATTTTAGAATTATGAATTTAATAAAAACCTATTTCAGCATGTTTTTCTGTTGATTACTCCTCGCTTCCTTACTATCCATCTTCATCCAACCCTCCCCATCCACCCTCCTCTCCTACATCAAGCAGACCATTGAGTCAAGATCATCAGAAGATAACTCCAGGACTGGATCCAACCCTCCCCATCTACCCTCCTCTCCTACATCCAGCAGACCATTGATTCAAGATCATCAGAAGATAACTCCAGGACTGGATCCAACCCTCCCCATCTACCCTCCTCTCCTACATCCAGCAGACCATTGATTCAAGATCATCAGAAGATAACTCCAGGACTGGACCCAACCCTCCCCATCTACCCTCTTCTACATCCAGCAGACCATTGAGTCAAGATCATCAGAATATAACTCCAGGACTGGATCCAACCCTCCCCATCTATCCTCTTCTACATCCAGCAGACCATTGAGTCAAGATCACCAGAAGATAACTCCAGGACTGGATACAACCCTCCCCATCTACCCTCTTCTACATCCAGCAGACCATTGAGTCAAGATCATCAGAAGATAAATCCAGGACTGGATCCAACCCTCCCCATCTACCCTCCTCTCCTACATCCAGAAGACCATTGAGTCAAGATCATCAGAAGATAAATCCAGGACTGGATCCAACCCTCCCCATCTACCCTCTTCTACATCCAGCAGACCATTGAGTCAAGATCATCAGAAGATAACTCCATGACTGGATCCAACCCTCCCCATCTACCCTCCTCTCCTACATCCAGCAGACCATTGAGTCAAGATCATCAGAAGATAACTCCAGGACTGGATCCAATCCGTTATCAAAGTATCCAACAAGCGTCAAGCTCCCTCCAACCATGAATATCATAGAAATATGGAAACTAATAACTGACGTTTTAATTCAACTCTAAGATCTCAAATTGTCTTATTCAGTCTGATTTAGTCTGATTGAGTCTGATATAGTCTGATTTAGTCTTATTTAATCTGATTTAGTTTGATTTAGTCTGATTTAGTCTTATTCAATCTGATTTAGTCTTATTTAATCTGATTTAGTTTGATTTAATCTGATTTAGTCTGATTCAGTCTGATTCAGTCTTATGTAATCTGATTCAGTCTTATTAATCTGATTTAGTCTTATTTAGTCTGATTTAATCTGGTTTAGTCTTTGTCTGATTTAGTCTTATGTAGTTTGATTCAGTCATATGTAGTCTGATTCAGCCGGATTCAGTCTTATGTAATCTGATTCAGTCTTATTTAATCTGATTTAGTCTTATTTAATCTGATTTAGTCTGATTCAGTCTGGTCAAGTCTGATTCAGTCTTATGTAGTCTGATTCAGTCTTATGTAGTCTGATTAAGTCTTATGTAGTCTGATTCAGTCTTATCTAGTCTGATTCAATCGTGTGTTGTCTGATTCAGTCTTATGTAGTCTGGTTTAGTCGTATGTAGTCTGATTCAGGCTGATTCAGTCTTATTTAATCTGATTTCATCTGGTTTTTAAACCGGTTTTTAAGTTTTCTGTACTACATCCAAAAAAGAGTCTGATTCAGTCTGATTTAGTCTGATTTAGTCTGATTTAGTCTGATTTAGTCTGATTTAGTCTGATTTAGTCTGATTCAGTCTGAAATAGTCTGACTTAGTCTCATTCAGTCTGATTTAGTCGGATTTATTCTAATTCAGTCTGATCTAGTCTAAAGTAGTCTAATGTATCCTGATTTAGACTGATTCAGTCTGATTTATTCTAAAGTAGTCTAATGTAGTCTAATTTAGTCTGATTTATTCTAAAGTAGTCTAATGTAGTCTGATTCAGTCTGATTTATTCTAAAGTAGTCTGATTTATTCTAAAGTAGTCTAATGTAGTCTAATTTAGTCTGATTTATTCTAAAGTAGACTAATTTAGTCTGATTACTGTTAACTTCAGTCTCTCGGAACTTAATCTTTTCTAACAAGAATAAGTATATCTACATACGTCCTCCTCGCTCGGACAAAGGTTTAAGGTGTGAATCATATATGTCACTCTACTACAAGAGGGTAACTTGAAATCACGTGTTCAGTCCCTTATATTATTCCAGTGTTTTTATTAATTTGTACATCTACACACGCTTTTTACCTTGTTTTTCAAAAAAACGTTGAATTTAAACATGGTTAAAAATTTAGATTACTATCGATTGATGGATTAACGTAGATCTAACATTTGATTTTAAATACCACGACTTCAACTGTCTACACAGCACGGTAAATGCCAGAATAAATGTTAGGTTTTAATAATTGATAAGCTTTAGAAATATTTATTACTGGGTAGTGGGATATAGCTCAGCTTGTACTATTAAATGTCGAGAAATTGAGTTTTTGTAACAAACTCAAATGTTCTTATCCCATTATCTTTTCAACCTGATGGAGTAGTAGCCCTTTGATATTTCAAACTTAGATTATTTGATTTAATAGAATTCATAGCTTGAAATATCTATGGTCAACGACATTGGGTTGCAAAGATAATGGAATTAGAAAATCAGAGTTTGCGATAAAAACTTCATTCCATCAAAATTACGTTTGATGTGAGATTGAAGCTCGCATAAAAATGCGAATGGCACACTTACACGTCGGAATCCAATATTAGATTTAAATATTCTTATTAAATATGTGAATTTTGCAAATAATTTGGCATATTTTAAACACCTTTCGCCAATATTTAAATGAGTTGAGTCAAACTCAATATTAGAATCTTTCCTCATTCTAAAATTGAAAAAACATTTCTTGCGTTGCAGCCAATTTCAACATCATGAAAATAGTTCTTTAAAATTCAAAACTTCACAAAAGAATTTAAAGTGCATATTTATTTTTGATAAAATATTGTATTTATAATTAATTTTCGTTAAATCTAGATTTTATTTTTTATTGTCAATATACTACTTAATTGCTATTCTTACTCAAGATAAAAATAGTTGTGTTCAGTAGCGTCTGAAAATATGGTATGGACACATGGTTGGAGTCGGTGTTTCAAAACATTTAGCCAACGTACTATTTGAACTTTTTTAAAATTCTCCCTTGCACCCTAATAATTAAAGTTAGAGGTCTATTTTTTTTTTATAAGCAGGCCTTGAATAGGGTCCCCCCCCCCAACCTATATTAGACAAAATTAGCCCAACCAGGATAGGGTTAATTGTTAAAACTTGTTGTTTATTGATTCTAACACAATGAATGCCATCAGAAAATCATTCAGCCAAGAAACCATAAAATTATTTTTTTTAGATTTCTTATTTTATGTTTGTTGTCGTCTTCATTTGTTTTAAAACAATTATCATTTTAATCATTGAACTAGGTTTAACTATTATTATACTTTAGTTCATCTATGTAAAACTAGTATTGAACTATATTTGAACTATAGTAGTTAAGCTGTATTTGAACTATAGAAGTTGAACTATATTTGAAATATAGTACTTGCAATGTAAATGAACTATATTTGAACTATAGTAGTTGAACTATATTTGAACTATAGTAGTTGAACTATATTTGAAATAAAGTAGTTGAGCTGTATTTGAAATATAGTACTTGCAATGTAAATGAACTATATTATTTTTGTAGTTTGACCATATGTGAACTATACGTCGTTGTTGTATATATTAATACGAAAAAGACGATTTTTTATTTAAACTATGATTTCTACCTAAAACAGCAGAAACACTTAAGCATTTAAAAAAAGAGAAGTTGTCGAGTAAACTTGTAATTTGATAAATGGTTGTCGGGGATCAATTCATAAAAAGTCGGCTTTGTTGTATTGATATGTTCGCCGACCACTGTAGCTATAATTGATCGAACTGTATAGAAGTAGAAATGTAGCCAATATAGAAATGTGATTATGTTTAAAATAATATTTAAAAAGTATGCTCAAATATTTAATAATATTTTTCACTAGTGTGCATTAGTCGCCAAAATTTTATGATTATAATGGAAAAAACAATATATTCAAATTTATTCTCGAGCATTTATTTTATTTTAAAATTCATCAAGTCGTGTGAAATTAATATGTATACTGGTGAAAATGAAAATCATATTTTTAAAAAAGTTTAATTAATGTATTTTTTTAGAAACTATATTGTAAACCTTATTTAAACAAGAATAAAACTTTAATGTTAAACAATAGTTTTTTTTTTAGCTAAAAGGGAGTGTTCGCGAAAAATGAGAGGGGGTATAGGCTTACAGCGAAAAATAATCGCTTTTGATCGCTACTAATATTACTTTTATCTAATGTGTCTATAAGGAGAAAATTGTTAAAAACGACTTATACTGAAGAACGTAGCGTCCATACAAATTCAGAAAGTTGCAATATTCAACTTTCGTGAAATAATTAATTTAATTTCAAACAAATCATTTAGATATTACAACCTATGGCATCGATTATTTTTCGACGCATTCGTATACAGTTAATATTTCATAATATTTCTATTTGTTTTTATATAATTAAACGCCGAATTATTTAGCCGCCAGATGTCTCGGCTCGATCGATGCTAGCTTTGAATAATTACAGGTTTTTTAAAAAATTTTATTTTTAAAAATATTTAAATTTTTTTCCACGTGCAACGCCGGGCCCTCCCGCTAGTACATAAATTCCATATATAAATAGTGTATAAATTCCAGCTAGTATATAATATATTAGAATTAATCTAAATTAATCTCCTTTACTTGTATTATAGTTTCCTTTCTTCAATATATTTATTATTTTTTCCAATCAATGCTTATTTAGTATTATTTTTGCTTTTATAGAAACATTTTTTATTTAATGTCCGGGACATTTTTCATGGATTTTATTTTCATGGTTTTCTTCTTTATATTCCGGAAGGTTTATTAAAGAAAGACTACTTGTAGATCTTCATGAACATTAATTATAAGAATATTATTATAAATCAACATTATGCATGCATAAATTGAGCAAGTATACCATGAGCTGTTTTAAAGTTACCTATATTGCAGGAAAAAATACTTAAAGAAAATTGTCTGCTTTTAGAATCGAGAGTGTTCAAAGTCAGTCGTAATTTTTCTCTTTAACTTTCTTTTTAAATGTTGATTTACGATAAATATGTGTTAACCGGTAGAAAGCTGAATCTTCTCTAAACATATGCAGTTGCTTTCTAGTTGCTTTCTAATAATAAAAATATATATCTGCAGTGAATTCACATTGATCCAAAAGTTACAAGCTCCGACGCAATAATCTATGAGAAATTTGCCAAAAACAAGTGTTTTAAAGTTTGTATTTATATATTTTGGTAGCAAATAGTTACAAACGAGTTAGAGGAAAATATCAAAGGATGCGTTGAGACGCTTAATTTAACTGTCTAGAGTTTTGTGAATCTGTATAAATAATACTGTACAGTGTACAGTACTTTATGTTTTTTTAGCTGAATTGCCTGGCGCTGCCCGGGTTGCTCATAGTTATTCCCACCGATTACTCGCACTTGGTCGATCTGTTTACTTGTGATCTGCCTAGCAAAAAAGAGGTTTACCCATCCATGCTTGAAACTCGCTGAATATAACAATCGAATTTTTTTTAATTTATTGAGCCCCCAAAAGAATATAAATTAGAATATACGATTTTTGTCTCTTTTGAGGTTTTGTTTATTTCAAGTTCTCTTTCTCTTTTTAGAAACATCAGATAAAAAGGAACCGTATCTTTTTTACGAACACACTCTTTAATGAGGGCTCTATCATCTTCCCCCCACCCCCACCCATTTTCTGCCCCCCATGATACTCTGTAGATTCTACCTCATGTCCACATGATAGTTCGGAACCAACGAGGTTATAGTGCATAGAGTGATGATGTACGCTAATCCTTTACTAATTGTATAGGACATCAACTATACAGAGAGCATACTGCATATTTGTTTATTATAAGATGATTCTAGCCCAACCTATAGTATGTCAATATAAGTAAACAGTTGTAAGTGTAGAGTTCAGCTAACTGAGCACACAGGTAGAGAACTATTATCCCCCCTGTTCGGAACACACTTAAAACTTCTAAAAACAGCCACTAGATGGCTCTGTTCTGGAAAAGAAAGCAGCCCTACTATATATTCTTCCTGCTTCCTCATTGTGCTTCATTAAATCCCACTGATTTCAAGACAATGTCATTTGTTTAGCCTTCAGAACTTTGTCATTTTGGTTGTAGATGTAAAAATTATGTGGCTCGCAACAGTTAAGAGCTATTAACCCTCTTACAGTTGGTGTATATCAGGGTTTAATTTTTTTTCACAATCTCTAATAACAACAATAATAATAAAATGGTATCTGTATGCAAAACTGGAACAAAAATAACATTTAAGAAATTTCCTGTTAGTTCTGTTCCTGACTCTTCTCTCAATCTATTTCATATCATATAATTGTAATTTAAAATCTTAACTTATTGATCAGTGTTCTCTTTAGTATACGTTTCTGCTTTACATAAAAAACCATTAAAATCATTCATAATTTGTTGATTGGACTAATATTGGATCCCCCTGATTTTAAAGATATTTTTTTTGGGGGGGGGGAGTAGGTGGAGCCCCCTTGATTGCCATACCACTTCCTTGACCGAAGTGGGGTGCGGAGTTAATTACCTTCCTGGGATAAAATAAAAATCTACCAGACGAGGTGGGGTTGGGATATTTCTAATTTTAATTCATTATGCGTTTAATCATATTGTGCCTTAAATCATGAATAGATTTATGTGATTATTATTTTTACTCTATTCTATCCTGTCTACAACATTCTAATACAAATCTTCCTGAAATGAACCCCTGTACGGAACTCTGGTGGCAAGATTGTAACTAAGCTGAGTCCAAAGTTTCGTGTACACTTGTACAAATAGTTCCTCTTTATACTATAATCTCTTTTCCTTTAATACACAGACTTTTCCATTTAAATTTTAAATAATTGTTAAAACCCCCTTAATGTCTTCAGTTTCATAATAAATATTTGTCTAATGTACAATTCCCGCGTATAAAATAACCTACTCTGTATATTTCTTATACAAATGGAGTACTGTCTACCAAGCATGTATAATCATATGGTAGGGCAGGCCTTCTATTGCATACTCCTTGGTTTTTCATCATATCTCCTCTAATTACGGAGCTAATATTGAGGAGATTCGGATAAAGGAATTGAGTTTTCGTCACAAGCTCAAATTTTCTTATCTCTATCTTTGCAACCTGATTGTATAAATCTTTGATATTTCAAAATTAGATTATTTGATCTTATAGAATTCATAGTTTGAAATATCTAATGTCTTCGACTTTAGATTGCAAAGATATTGGTATCAGAAAATCTGAGTTTGTGGCAAAAATGCAATTCCTGTGCTCCTCATGCAATACTGTGTAAAATCAAAACTAGATGAGATAAGAGGTCACAAAGTGGTACCAGTGATATCGCATACATTCAACTTTCTAATTCTGACTAGTTTTCAGTTTTTTTAGCATAAAATGCGACTTTGTGGTATCTGTGATAGCCCTGCTCCTCAATCTTGTGGTGGTTGTGGTAACGTTAGGTAATCAAACACACGTGGTTTTATGATGTACACAAACCAAGACTGTGGTAACGTTAGGTAATCAAACACACATGATTTTATAATGTACACAAACCAGGACTGTGGTAACGTTAGGCAATCAAACACACATGGTTTTATAATGTACACAAACCAGGACTGTGGTAACGTTATACAATTAAACATTTTGCAGTAAAGTTGGTCATTTTATACGAGTTGTGTTAATGTAAGGTAACTTTAATATTTTAGTTATTTTAGATAATTCAAAACGAGATGTGGTAGTGCTAAGATAATTAAACAGAAGATGGGTAATGTTAGATAAATAAAAACGAGATGTGGAAATGTTAGATACTTAAACATGGGATGTGGTAATGTTAGTTAATTTAACACGAGATTTGGTAATATTAGATAATAAAACACAAGATGTGGTAATGTTAGCTACTTAAACACGAAATGTGATAATGTTAGATGATTAAATACGAGATTTGGTAATGGTAAATTAGACATCAGATGTGGTAATGTTAGATAATTAAACACGAGATGTGGTAATGTTGGATAATTGAACACGAGATGTGGTAATTTTGGATAATTAAACACGAGATATGGTAATGTTAGATAATTAAACACGAGATGTGGTAATGTTGGATAATTAAACACGAGATGTGGTAATGTTGGATAATTAAACACGATATATGGTAATGTTAGATAATTAAACACGAGATGCGGTAATGTTGGATAATTAAACACGAGATGTGGTAATGTTGGATAATTAAACACTAGATATGGTAATGTTATATAATTAAACACAAGATATGGTAATGTTAGATAATTAAACACGAGATGTGGTAATGTTGGATAATTAAACACGAGATATGGTAATGTTAGATAATTAAACACAAGATGTGGTAATGTTGGACAATTAAACACGAGATGTGGTAATGTTGTTTAATTAAACACGAGATGTGGTAATGTTGGATAATTAAACACGATATATGGTAATGTTAGATAATTAAACACGAGATGTGGTAATGTTAGATAATTAAACACGAGATGTGGTAATGTCAGGTAATTAAATACGAGATGTGGTAATTTTGGATAATTAAACAAGAGATGTGGTAATGTTGTAAGGTAAATAAACATGAGTTTAAATAATGTTAGATAAATATAATCTGATAGTTACTTTTGAAAACATGTATTCCTTTTTCGGGGATTATTGATAATTAAGACGACATTTTCATATTTTCCAGGAATGTTCGAAAATCCAGCGCCAGCGAAGTATTATTTTTAAAAAATATCAAACATATTATGAAATATTAACTATATATGAATGCGTCGAAAAATAATCGATGACTCTTGGTTGTCATATCTGAATGATTTGTTTGAAATTAAATTGATTATTTTACAATCCAATTTGAATGTTGCAACCTTCTGAATTTGTATGGTCACTATAACGTTCTTCAGCATGAGTCGTTTTTAACAATTTCTCTTATAGGCGCAACAGATGGAAGTAAGATTAGTAGCGATCAAATGCACTTATTTTTCGCCGTAAGCTTATACCCTCTTTCATTTTTCGCGAACACTCCCTTTAATGTCAAATCTTGATATTTTTAAAATTATATGTTTTAGCGATTTACACAATAATTTTAAACACTAGCATTATAACAGTTTTACAGTTTTAGTGGTTAATTGTTGCTGCATAGTTTTGGATACAAATATGTAAACAGCCTTACAAGACAAGTTTATATATGAACAATTTGATACTTATCTCTCATAAATTAAAATGTTGAAAAATATGTAAAATTTGAAGCGCATGATGTCCGCATTTTCTTTTGTAAATGTATATTAGTTCGAACGGTAGAAAGTAAGTAAATCTTTTATTCTAAACTCTTAAGCTTTAAAGTTTTTTTTTCCTTTTTTCTTTTTATATTTTGTTCTTGTTCCTGATAATGTTAAATCAGTGAATGGATTGCACCAAATTATACCTTTCTTGCCAGGTTTAGCAAAATGTTACATTTGAACATTATTTAGTTCAATTGCCAACAAAAACAACAAATTTTGTTTATTTATTTTGAAAAGAGGCCCATTTTTATGATTTTTAATAAAAGTAAAATTTTTTCAACAAATAAAGAAAGACAAACAATGTTTTTGGGACCTAAAAGAGACAGTTAGTGTAATTTAAAGTGACCCTCCATGTGAAGATAGTAATGCCCGGTACAACTTGAAACCTTTAAACAAAGAGAATATAATATATTAGAGTGGAATTTAAACAATCCCTCGGTATGAATTTTGTCAGTTCAAAGTGTACAATTCATGTAAATGTTCACAAAATTATACGCAGTACATCAATCTAATCTATAATCCTTTCTCTTTGCCTTTCTTGGAATTACATCTAGGCGACGGTCTCTACAAGTATTGCATGTTGTTTATTGTAAATTATATAAATAATATTTCTCTAGATATTGTGGAATTGAACATCAGAAGAAGGATTGGATTCAACACAAACCCTTCTGTAATCCTTTCAAGTAAATTAATCTGATATATAGATACAAGACAATCCATGCTGTAATCCTTTCAAGTATGTTAGTCTAATATATAGATACAAGACAATCCATGCTGTAATCCTTACAAGTATGTTAATCTAATATATAGATACAATACAATCCATGCTGTAATCCTTTCAAGTATATTAATTCAATATATATAGATACAATATAATCCATGCTGTAATCCTTTCAAGTATGTTAATCTAATATATAGATACAATACAATCCATGCTGTAATCCTTTCAAGCAAATTAATCCAATATATATAGATACAATACAATCCATGCTGTAATCCTTTCAAGTATGTTAATCTAATATATAGATACAATACAATCCATGCTGTAATCCTTTCAAGTATGTTAATCTAATATATAGATACAATACAATCCATGCTGTAATCCTTTCAAGTATGTTAATCTAATATATAGATACAATACAATCCATGCTGTAATCCTTTCAAGTATGTTAATCTAATATATAGATACAATACAATCCATGCTGTAATCCTTTCAAGTATGTTAATCTTATATATAGATACAATACAATCCATGCTGTAATCCTTTCAAGTATGTTAATCTAATATATAGATACAATACAATCCATGCTGTAATCCTTTCAAGTATGTTAATCTTATATATAGATACAATACAATCCATGCTGTAATCCTTTCAAGTATGTTAATCTAATATATAGATACAATACAATCCATGCTGTAATCCTTTCAAGTATGTTAATCTTATATATAGATACAATACAATCCATGCTGTAATCCTTTCAAGTATGTTAATCTAATATATAGATACAATACAATCCATGCTGTAATCCTTTCAAGTATGTTAATCTTATATATAGATACAATACAATCCATGCTGTAATCCTTTCAAGTATGTTAATCTAATATATAGATACAATACAATCCATGCTGTAATCCTTTCAAGTATGTTAATCTAATATATAGATACAATACAATCCATGCTGTAATCCTTTCAAGTATGTTAATCTAATATATAGATACAATACAATCCATGCTGTAATCCTTTCAAGTATGTTAATCTAATATATAGATACAATACAATCCATGCTGTAATCCTTTCAAGTATATTAATCCAAAACATACATCTATACAATGCAACCAATCTACAAAAAAACTGTTACGCGAGCCATGCTGCGTGTATGAAGTCTATGTGGTGCCCCTGTGAATTCCTGAGTTCTCCCTGCGGATCTGTACAGAACGTATTGTGAAAAAACTAGTTTTAGGAGCTGTTTACAGACTGACTACGCAGGCGCAAGATTTCTCGCGTGAGAGTGAACAGTTTCTGTATTTAGTATATGTTTATTTGTCTTGCAAGTGTAACCGTGCTAACCCTGCTTATAATTCTAGGATCACTGCGGTAATCATTTTCTTATATATATGTATGCTATCATTTGAGTATATTATGATTGATATTTGTAAATGTGTTTGTTGGTTCCTTGCCACAGTTTTTTAATGCCTGAGTGGATTATTTGTTGTATTCATATGATTTATCACTCAAAGCTTTTTCTGTGGGCTTATTAAACTTATTTAGATTGAAGTCTTGGAGAAATAAACGTTCGGAACCTTATTATTATCCTTTGTTATGGAGAGCGTTGAGAGGAGGAAGGCTTACAATCCAATCTTGAGAAATACCGCACGGTATATATATTAGGTCTTTAGGGAAATCGCTAAGTAGCGAAACAAAAACAAAACAAAAAACAACAAATAAAAAAGCAATAACAACAGCAAAAACAATAACAAAAGTAACAACAACTACAACAATAACAACAACAACAATAACAACAACAACAACAACAACAACAAAAACAACAACAACAACAAAAACAACAACAACAACAACAAAAACAGCACCAAAAACAACAACAACAACAACAATAACAATAACAATAATAACAAAAACAACAACGACAACGACAACATCAAAAATATTTAAACAATATTCAAACAAATTTTAAGTCAGACTAAATGAATTCTAGTTTTATTGTAAGTATTATACCTCCATTAAAAGTTTGTACTCTAAGGTTTGTGAGGATTAAACCTCTATTAAAAGTTTGTACTCTAGGGCGTTTAAGGATTAAACCTCTATTAAAAGTTTGTACTTTACGGTGTGTGAGGAATAAACTTCCATTAAAAGTTTGTACTCTAGGGTGTGTGAGGATTAAACCTCTATTAAAAGTTTGTACTCTAGGGTGTGTGAGGATTAAACCTCCATTATAAGTTTGTACTCTAGGGTGTGTGAGGACTAAACCTCCATTAAAAGAGTGTACTCTAGGGTGTGTGAGCAATAAACCTACATTAAAAGTTTGTACTCTAGGGTGTGTGAAGATTAAACCTCTATTAAAAATTTGTACTCCAGGGTGTTTGAGCATTAAACCTCCATTATAAGTTTGTACTCTAGAGTGTGTGAGGATTAAACCTCTATTAAGTTTGTACTCTAGGGTGTGTGAGGATTAAACCTCTATTAAAAGTTTGTACTCTAGGGTGTGTGAGGATTAAACCTCTATTAAAAGAGTGTTAAACCTCTATTAAAAGTTTGTACTCTAGGGTGTGTGAGGATTAAACCTCTATTAAAAGTTTGTACTCTAGGGTGTGTGAGGATTAAACCTCTATTAAAAGAGTGTACTCTAGGGTGTGTGAGGATTAAACCTCTATTAAAAGAGTGTACTCTAGGGTGTGTGAGGTACTCTAAGGTGTGTGAGGATTAAACCTCTATTAAAAGTTTGTACTCTAGGGTGTATGAGGATTAAACCTCTATTAAAAGTTTGTACTCTAGGGTGTGTGAGGATTAAACCTCTATTAAAAGAGTGTACTCTAGGGTGTGTGAGGATTAAACCTCTATTAAAAGAGTGTACTCTAGGGTGTGTGAGGATTAAACCTCTCTAGGGTGTGTGAGGATTAAACCTCTATTAAAAGTTTGTACTCTAGGGTGTGTGAGGATTAAACCTCTATTAAAAGTTTGTACTCTAGGGTGTGTGAGGATAAGATTTGTGGACAGTTCCTTGTAGCAGGAAGAAATTTAAAGGTAATGTTTTCAATTAAAGGTAATTTAAAGATAATGTTTTCAATTAAAGGTAATTTAAAGATAATGTTTTCAATTAAAGGTAATTTAAAGATAATGTTTTCAATTAAAGAGAATTTAAAGGTAATGTTTTCAATTAAAGGGAATTTAAAGGTTAATGAAGAAGAACGATAGAAGGTTTCCTCAACATTTTATTTCTTTAGCGAGGTTTCATAATAAAATATGATTGTGCATGTCTCAAAGGTTTACTAATAAACTTCAAAAGTTCCCGTAATTTCTCATGTTTTTGTATTTTTGTAGTGAATGATATCACATATTCTTTTTTTTATAATCTTTCCAAAATATTTTGGAAAATATATTATAATACTAATGGACACATATTTCCGTATATCTACACAGTAATACAAACAAATTATGGAGTTTTCAATAAAGAAATATTAAACATTAAAACCCCAAGACCATTTATTACCATGTTCATTGCTTTTTAATAGATTTTTACGTTAAAGATAGTCTTAGTATCTTCACTAATTGAAAATTGTTTAATGTTGTAACTTGATCAAGGATGTAACGCTGATCAGCCATTAGAAATAAAAAAAACTAAGATAAAACCCAAATGTCCTTCGGGCGTGGATTATTGGCTGATACGTCAGTTTTAAATTTATTCTTGTTCAACACCTTAGTTTTATTTTTCTTTAGACTAATCTAAAAAATATTTTACAAAAAATAGAGATTATATGCATTCTATTGAAAAAAGGTAAAACGAATAGGATTGTAAATATTTAATGTTCTATCTGTGTGTAAAACCCATTATTTTAATGAATCTTAGTACAACCTAGCGGTGAAAATCTGAACTAATAGTACAGGAGGAAACATAGTTTCAAACACCTAAGTATTTCAAGTATTCTATACAGAGATAGGTATAGGTTGTGTGTACGCACTGCGCACTAGCTCACTATTTTACTGATAAAAACAAGGAATATGCCAATCTGTTTAGGGAATTCCGAATTAGAGATTATGTAAGGAAACCATGTCGTTTGGCTATTAAAATAACTCAAATATAATCATATTCCGAATATTGTAATTAATGTGGTCATTTTAAATTTGTGTGCAAGGGTATAAATATGAAAGTGCGTGCGCACTCGCTACTGCAGTGCATCTATAACAGGTTGGATACAATCAAGGTTAGGAACTTTTAGGATCTTATACTTACGCACGCGCACACAATTATCAGAGGCGTATTCAGGGGG